TTAGCTCCTTCCCAGATTACCCACTCTGAAGACCCCATGCAAAGGCAGAGCACACTGACTGGCACTTACCAGTGTCTAGCACATCGCAGTATAAATTCCATCCAGAACCCAAGCAGGGCCAGGAGAGCTACTAATACCAATACGTACCACTCTGTCCCTAGTCTTCCTCAGAAAAGGAGGAGGCATCTAGGGCCTATGGACCACAGAACAACGATCAGTCCAAGAAAAGGGCATCTATAAGCCCACCCTTGGAGTTCTGAGAATGCAGCATTGTGAGAAGAGCTTCTTCCAAGCCTGGCACTCTTAGTTCACTGGGCAGGCTGCCATGCTTGACCCCTCAAGTCTCCCAACAATCGGCATCCAGCCCACTTCTAGGAGGAAGCACAAAAGCCCAGATCCCAGCAGCTCTAATAGCAACCCATAAACATGGAAATACATATAAACACTGTGCTCTCAAAGTAACGGCTGCACCTAAACACCAGAGGACAGGTCTACAAATGTCCAAAAGAGAAAGAAAGAGTGTCTCCAACCATCCAATAGAACTCAGGAAGCTCTATAAAAACATGTTCATTTAATAGAAAAAGATGAGTTCACTCATTGACCACACATCCACTATGACAGACTCAAGAGAATGCGCTGAAGGGGGCTAAGGCCTAAAACCTGCTCATAGCAGCCCACAGCACATAGCCATGTGTGGCCCCTAATGGCCATTCAGCTCCCTGGACAGCCCACAGCTACTGCACAGGACTGAGGCCTCCGTGCTCCTGCTGGTCAAGATGAGAAGGGACTCCCACAGCAAAGTGCTCCATCAGAGGCCTGTTCTCCCCTTTGCCGACACATGCACTGTCAAATAGACCCAGGGAGTGGTCACCTTAGCTCCCTGCCAACAGCATCAGCCGCCTCAAAGTGACTCACCATCCATAGTAAATGGTAATGATACCCACAGAACTTATCCGTGAGACACAAAAGGACCTGGAATCCACCCCAGAAGAGACGTGGGCCCTTCTACTCCTGGCTCTGGGGAAAGACCTGGCAAGTGGGCTCATCCTGCTGGCTGCGTCAGCTCCTAACTTGCATCTTGTGATAAACTGCCAGTACCCCAATCTGCCAGGCAGATTCCTAGAAGGGTTAGTTCTGCACTGTGTATTCCCGGAGTTAGAAGGCTGTGCTCCTGGCTCCCAATAAAACTTCCACTTGAGGCTCATCATGAAACAAGGAGCTTTTACTGCAGATTGTCCAGCTGAAGCAGCGGCTGGCGTTTTCCCTTCACTCTTCTACAGAACAAAAATTGATGGCCCTAAAGGTAATAAGGTAAAGCCTTAAATTTAACCAGAGCAAATATTTCACCAGCAGAAAACTGGTAAATTATTTAGAAAAAGACTCAATCAACCAGCCAAGGAAATACAGCCCTATATAGAACCTGGCAGCCTTCAGAAATAAATAGAATCATTGTGGTTTCTCTAAATTCCTCCCTCAACCAAAATCACCTTTATCAAAAGCATCTAATCTGAACTGTCACGGCTAGAAAAGCAAGCAGGAAGAGTGAGCTTTGAAGCTGGCAAGCAAGTGAGTGGTGTGCCAATGAGCGGTGTGCCATGGTCCCTTAGCCCTGTGGGTCACGGTCAGTTTCCTGATCCTCCATACTCTGTTCTCACCATACCACTGCAGAGGCGGATCTGATTTCAGCAAACATGAATGAAACGACCTCATTGCAAATTACCCAACCTTTGTGAGTATTGCAATAAAGCAGACACAGAGAGAGAAAACCGCATCTCTGGGTCTTTCCATTAAAGGTCTAGGAAATTTAATAACATCCCCATTGTTTGGTTGCAGAGGCACATCAACCTCTCTTTACTACAGCAGAAACACAAGAGCTCTGGAGGGGGCAATAGAGTGGTACGTGTTTGACTCGGTGATGCTTCAAAGACCTGATTTACAGTCAGGGGCCAGGCACCTTGCACCACACATCTGAGTCTATAATTGCCACACATTCTGTGCAAACTTAACACCCGCAGCATGATGTCTGCACCCATGGAGTGGTTCTGCATCGAAGCCAGGCCTCTTTGCTCTAGCCTCAGCCCACATGAAGGCAAATAAGCAGAGAAGCCCAGCATGCACACCAGGGCCTGGACTATTAGTACAGGGGCTTACAGCAAAGGCCCTGCAGTCAGTGTGCTCCATATCCAGTCAGAGATAACCTGTGACACTTTTAACTTGGGCTTTTTTTTCTTCTTCTTCAATGGAGGAGTCCCACTAATGACTTCCTTCAGGAAATTCTGAGACATTTTTAGCACATTTAAAAATGAATGGCATTCAAAAAGAAAATATTCAGTATTCCTAGCTGTGGTCTGGTTTTCTGAATGTAGGAAAAGACCCTGCAGTCTGCATGCACAGCTTCCTGCTAAGCTGCAGCTAACACTTTACTCCAAATTCTAGTCTATGAACCAACCCAGATGGAATCCCACCTGGGCTGCTACACTGACATATTTTCCTGAACATCCTGTAGCCTTAAAACCACCTCCATCTACCAAACTCTTTTGTTCAGGAAAACAAGATCTGATCTGTTAGGGTCCATGACTCAGTGGGTCTCTTCTGGAGAACAAATGCACGAGTATGGAGATGCAAGAATCAAGCAGAGTTTTATTAAACCAGCTAGCTGGGGCCGACTGTCCTTTCCAAAACACGCAGGTCTGGTTAGAGCGATCGACCCTGAGGCAATATTAGGTAAAGATTATATAGGCTCCCACAACCGTTACACAAAAGCCCGCGTTTATACAGCCAATAGTTTTAAAGCAAGCATTTCACAAACCAATAACAAGAAAAATGTTACAACTCCCTTCAGGTGTCTCAATTGGGGAGGGATGGGTGGTATTGTGCCTGGCAGGACTCTTTCCTGTTATCTTGTGTAAGCAGACATGTCTACGTGACATGACAGATCAGGTCAGGCTCGGGGGGGGGAGGGCTGTAGTGATTGCCCCTATCTCCGGATGCCTGTGTCTCCAGTTGAGTTAATTGGTTACAAGCATAAATTCAAACAAGTAAATTCAAGCAGTAAATTCAGACAAGCAGTATATTCAAACAAGCAGTAAATTCCTCTTTCCCTAACAGATCCTACAGATCCACTCCTGAAATCTGCTGATGTTAATGGACTTCCGAGACTAGAGTTTCCCTGAGGACTGTGCCCACTATGCCAGCCTCCCTCCCCCATCTCATCCTGCATTTGCTTCATACTGCTGTCCTTGTATCCAGGCTTACTCACCTGCATGTAAGTATGGCCTGCCTTATGTCACAATCCATGGAACAGATTTGCTCTCAGACAGAAATTCTTAAAAGCAACAGATCCTACTTTAGAAGATTTCATTCACTCTTAGCCAGTATGACACCTGCCAAGCCACAACAATAAAGATGGCAGTAAAACACACAAAAATGAAACACGAATATCCTGAAATTGTAAACATACGTAACCTGAAAGAAGAAAATAATCATTAGAACAGCAGAGCTCACTCTAAGAACAGCCGTGGGAAAACCTGAACTGATCTGATAGCTCTCTGTGCTCACAACTAGAAGGTCTGAGTATTGTGGTCATGCTGTTCCACCTAAACCAAACAAGCAGAGCATGAAGCCAACCCAGGAAAGGCAGGGGCAGCCCAGTCGGAAGGGCACTGTTCCAGCACACAGTGCGGAAGGCAGCACAATCACACTGCTCCACGCTCCCTTCAATGCCTGCCCACCTTCTGACACACAGGACACCTTCAAAGTCGTCAAAGGAGCTATTCTTTCACGGGACTCTGGCATCTCAACTACTTTTAAAGGAAAATAACATCAAACTCTCTCTCCAATACGCACCCAACTGCCAAATATACTACAGTCTCCAGAATTTTTATATGAACCATCAAAGAAAAACAGATTTGAGAGACAAAAAGCAATCCTTTAGGTGCATATCAAAACAAGCCCTGAGAACCTGCCTTCTAAAGAACAAAGGCCCAACTGCAAAGCAGAGCCCCGGGGACCTTCCCAGCAATTAGTCATCTGCCAGGGGCCACTGCGGAAATTACCTACAGGCATTGCTAAAGGTAGAACAAGTTTATTTCTGACAATCTTGAAGAATGTAAAGAATGTACAAGAGGCCCCTGAATCGAGATCTGTGGATAAACAATTTACAAATCAGCCTCTTGAGCAGGCAAAGGTTAAGGAACTCACTTCTAAAACTTTTTTTTTCCTTCTCATTACACTTACAGTCAAAAGACAGGAGTCAAAACCACACTGTAAGTACCCAGCTAAGGCTTCCCCAACCCACCTCACCTGCTGACTAATACACCTGTAGAGGGTTCCAAGTGCCACGCCTCACACAAGCTGACTATAAATGCACTTCCATCAACACCCCAAGTTTCTAATTTCCTATTCAATTTATTAAATCTTCAAAACAGTTATGAGAAAGGACGAAGGAAAGAGGTCTCCCAGCTGTTGACAGATAGCTAAGATCTTATGGGCAATGTGACAGAGTTAAATTCTAGGCACTTTTCAGTAAAAGTACAAACTGTAAGAGATAAGCAACAAAACACATTTATTGGTAGCTGGCTCCCTGAAAGGATTCTTACCTCCTAAATCAGAGGCCAAGTGCATAAGAGGTACCACCCTTTGAACACTAGGTACTTTTTTCTCCCCTGTCTGAAAACTGAAGGAAGGAAAGACGGATGGACGGCTCTCCCTAGCTGATACTGTAGAAGAAGGAAAGATGGACAGACGGCTCTCCCTAGCTGATACTGTAGACTCATTACTGAAAACTCATTTTCTGTGCAAAATAAAAACCATGATTTAAGAGTAACATGAAGGACACTTTTTCTTTCCTAAAAGTTTTCTGGGGGAAATTACAGCAATCAATAGCCTCCCAGAAGCATGGCTCCCAACACCCTGTGAGCTGTGGATGGAAAGAGTGGGCATGCACCACAGGCTAGCGGGTGAAGTACTGAAAAGGGGAAGTACTCGAGCTTACCCTTGGCTGCCAGTTCTCATACTGCTTCTGTAAGTTCGCACCAATGGTTTCCAGAGCTTTCTGAGGACCCATAGACAAAGGATCTGTGGAAGCAACAGCAAGAGAAAGCTTAGTATGCGTGCAGCTCCTCCGCTGGGATGCTCTGCAGGGAGCACCTTCTTTCACAAGGCAAAGTCACAAAGATACAGCCAGGCCTCGGTTTTATCTGCGCCTAACCAAAGCAAGGAAGTGATGATGTACCCCAACAGGCTCCCAAGCCCACGAGCACTGCTCCCTACCACGTCCCTTCACAGCGGCCGCTTTTCTCTCTCCCACTTGTGTGTGCAGCATCTGCCATTCTCCCCAACTCTCCTCTGCTCTTGTGCAGCTCAGGCTGTCAGAAAAGGCCTAGGCTGTGCTTCTACCAGGAGACTGTGCACATGGGACCCTGTAGAAAACACTAAGTTCCTTGTTAAACCTACAGCCCTCCTGAGTGCAGGGCAGGGGAAGAAAGAGGGCAGAGGGGCAAGACAACACATTACAGTTTTCACCCACATTGTAATCTCTCTCTCTCTCTCTCCTCTCTCTCTCTCTCTCTCTCTCTCTCTCTCTCTCTCTACACACACACACACACACACACACACACACACACACACAATTTTTACAAACATATGGAGATGGCCCTGGTTTGCTGCTTATTTAGAGTCATTTCTATGCTAATAGTCCTAAGCCTGCAGTGCTCTCACCTGCCTGATCTCAGGATCCCTTTCCAGTCCTTAAACATCTGAAGATCCAAAGAGCTTGTGTCTGATGTATACCGTATCAGAATGAGAGCCAGGCAGGAGGATCACAAGTTCAAGGCCAGCCTGGGTTACCAAAAGAGTGAGAGCAGGAGCGGAGGAAATATTTAATTCTGATAAGAGAAAAACTCTAATATATTTTTATTCATTTGTTTAAAATATGATAAACCCACTGTTTTAATATGAATATTTATGATGAAAAATAATTATAATCTCTCCAAAAATTTAGTGAGAGGGGCTAGGGATAGAGTTGTAGAATGCTTGCTGAGCATGCACTAAACTTTGGATTCACTCCCCAACACCACATAAACCAGGCACAGTGGTAAATGCTTGGATTCTAGCACTCAGGAGGCAGAAACAGGAGGACCAGAAATTCAAGATCATCCTCAGCAATATACTGAGTTCCAGGCCAGCCTGGGCTAGAGATCCTCTCAGAAAAAAAAAAAAAAAAAAAAAAACTGGGGCTGGAGAGATGGCTCAGGGGTTAAGAGCACTGACTGCTCTTGCAGAGGACCGGGTTCAATTCCCAGTACC